TGTAGGTTCTGTTGGGTATCTTCTTCCCAAAGAACTTGATTTCATTGCAGTAGAAGACCTGCTTTGGATGGTATCCTTTCTAAGGATACCATCCAAAAAAATCAATTTTTTAACTCTGCTGGCAGTATGGCAGCAGCTTCTTCATTGGCCAACGCAACCTCTTCAGTTATTTTTATATTTTCAGTCCAAACCTATTCCTGAATCTGTGTAACCATCCCTTACTTGCAGTAGTAAACGGCTGGGTTTCACTCATTTCATGGAGTCTCTTGCTGAAGTCTTCACTGAGGCTCAGGGCTTTCTGGCATAGCACGTTGCCTTCAGTCGGAACATGTTTTCTATTCATGTCTTCCACCCACAAATTTAATGCCTTTTCCATCTTAACTAAGCATTCATCACACACTGTGGTCGTAACTTTTGCAGTTTGAGGTGGGACAGCAAACTAGAATAAAGTTTTTTTTTCTTTTTCACAGCTTTATCAATAAGGTTCGTTCTTACTGTAGTTCTTAGCAACCTCAGCATACAATTTTTTTTCTTATTAAGTGGAAAACTTTCATGTTTTTACTTAAAGGGAGTACTTTACAGCTTCACTTTGGCATTTTCAAATTGCCAACATGACTTCTCTTGTGCTTTTGATGCCATTTTTAGGTAAAATAAGAGTTACTTGAACTCAAACACTGCAATACCATGACAGTCGATCTGATCATCTAGACTGCTGCGTGACTGGCAAGCAGGTAGTGTATACAGTGTGGATACGTTAGATAAAGGGATGATTCATGTCCCAGGTGGGACAGAGTAGGACGGCTTTAGGTGTCATGACACTACTCAGAACAGCACACAATTTAAAACTTATGAAATGTTTATTTCTGGAATTTTCCATTTAATATTTTCTGATTGGAGTTGACCACATGGGTAACAAACCGCAGTAAGCAAATCTGTGGATAAGAGGGAACTGTTGTATTCTTTCAATCCATGAGCTTGTGATATCTCTCCATTTATTTGTGTCTTCAATTTCTTTCATCACTGTCTTATAGTTTTCAGTGTACAGGTCTTTCACCCTCCTTGGTTAAATTTATTCCTAGGTACTTTATACTTTTTGATGCAATTGTAAATGGGATTGTTTTCCTGTTAGTTCATTATTAGTGTATAGAAACAACTGATTTTTGTGTATTAATCTTGTATCCTGCAACATGACTGAAATCGTTTATTCTAAGTTTTTTGGTGAAGTCTTTAGAGTTCTATATATGTCATGTCATCTGCAAATAGAGACAGTTTTACTTCTTCCTTTCCGATTCGGATGTCTTTTATTTCTTTTTCTTATCTGATTCCTGTAGCTAGGACTTCAATATTATATTGAATACAGTGGTGAGAGTGGACATCCTTGTCTTGTTCCTGATCTTAGAGGGAAAGCTTTCAGCTTTTCACTGTTATGTATGCTGTTTTAACTGTGAGTTTGTCATATGAGTATATGGCCTTTATTATGTTGAGTTATGTTCTGTCTATTCCCACTTTGTTGAGAATTTGTCATGAATGTATGTTGAATTTTGTCAAATATTTTTCTGCATCTACTGAGATGATCATATGATTTTTATCCTTCATTTTGTTAATATGGTGTATCACATTGATTGGTTTGGGGATGTCAAACTATCCTTGCATCCTGGGATAAATCCCACTTGGTCTTGGTGTATGATCCCTTTAGTGTATTGTTGAATTTGGTTTGCTAACATTTTGTTGAGGCTTTTGCAATTTATGTTCATTTTGGATACTGACCTAACAATTTCTTTTCTTGTAGTGTCTTTGGCCTCGTAAAATGTGTTTGAAGGTGCTCTGTCCTCTTCTAGTTTTTGGTATATTTTAATAATGATTGGTATGTATTCTTCTTTTTTTGGTAGAATTCACCGGTAAAGCCATCTGGTCCTGGACTTTGTTGGGTTATTGTAACTTTTTAATTTGAGGATTTCCATTTAATTCTTTTTTATATAATTTCTATCTCTCTATTGAGTCTCTGTTTGATGACTCATCATCACCATGCTTTCCTTTAACCCTTTCAACCTGGTTTCTTTCCTTTAATTCTTTGAACATTTATAATAACTTCTTTGAAACTTTATCTGTTAAATCCAACATCTGAATGCTCTCAGAATAATGGATTCTCTTGATTGGTTTTTCCCTGCTGTGTATGGGTCACATTTTGGTTTCCTTGCGTACCTCATACTTTTTTGTTAGAAAACTTGGCATTTTAAAAAATGTATTGTTGCGGTTCTGGATTCTGATCTCATGCCTCACCACAGGGTGGTGCTGTTGGTTGTTGTTTTTGTTCATTTTAGTAACTTGCCCAAACTAATTTGGCGGAGTATATTTCCACTATAGTGTGCAACATTTGTTGTCTGCTCAGCCTTTTTATTTTCGTTTTTAATGTTTTAATTTTTAAGCTAGGCTTGGCTCCTGTGGGTTGTCCCTGCATCAGTATAGCTTAGTGGTCAGCCATTGGTTAGTCAGAGGTTATGCTTAAACAATCCGTGCTGATAAGGTTCTGCCCTTTGCCATTAGATCTGTGTGTGACTTCGGGAATGCTTTCAAAATTCAGAGTTTAGAAATCTGCCCATGTTTTTTGTTACTTTGTTTCTGGTCTTAGAGGGAAAACACTGACTTTTTCAACATTAGCCATGCTGTTACTTGTAAATTTTTTATAAACGTCCTTATCAGATGGAGGAAATTTCCTTCTATTTCTAGCTTGCTAGAAGTTTTAACATGAGTGAATGTTGAATTTTGTCAGATTCTTTTTCTGCATCTTTTGTGATGCTTATACAGTTTTCCTTCTGTTTTTCTGCCGGTGAGATACATTGATTAATTTTCAAATGTTAAACCAACCTCAATCTCCTGGGATTAATACCTCTTAATCATGATATAGTATTTTCTATATATTGTTAGATTTGCTGTGCTAATATTTTCATGTGTATTTGTGCATCTGTTTTACTAAGGGATATTGCTGTGTTCTTGTTTTCTTGTAATGTCCTTATCGGGTTTTGGAATAGGAGTTAGGGTGGCTTTGTGAATTGAATGGGACAAGCATTCACTCTTGGCTCTATTATTTGAAAGTGTTGGTGTACAGTTGTTAATTTTTTCTGCCTTATATGTTTGGCAGAATTCATCAGTGAAGCCACCTGGGCCATAGTTTTTTTATGCGGCAAGATCTTTTCAGTTTCTTTGTAAGGCTATCCATACTCTTAAACTTTTTCTTGCCTCAGTTTCAGAATGTTGGGTTTTTCAAGTGTTTTGTCTATTTCATATAAGTTGCCTGATTTATTGGTGTAAAGCTGAGTATAATATCCTCTATAAACCTTTCAAGGTCTGAAGGATCTAAGGATTTTTTATTCCTTGTATTGGTAATTTGCATTTTCTTTATTTCTTGGTGATTTCTTGCTAGGGGTTTAATTTTTTTATTACTTCAAAGAACCAACTTTTGGCTTTGTTAATATTTTACGTATTTTCTGTTTTCAATTTCATTGATTTCTGCTTTTCCTTTCTTCTACTTACTTTGGGTTTAATTTATAACTTTTTGAGATAGAAGCTTAGATCACTGATTTTAAGACTTTCTAAAAACTTTTCAAATATATGTATTGAGAGCAATAAATTTCCCTTTCATGACTGTTCTATTTGCATTTCACCATTTTTTGTATATCATTTATTCACTTCACATATTGTCTAATTTCCTTTATTTAGAATTGTGTTTAATTTCCAAATATTTGAGGATTTTCTAGTTAACTTTTTGTTATTGATTTCTAGTTTTATTTCTTTGGAGACAGAGGACATGCTTTGTATGATTTCAGTACTTGAAATTTATTGAGGCTTGTTATACTCCTTTTTTTAATGTTCTGAATGTCCTTGAAAAAGAGTGTGCATTTAGCAGTTGGATGCTGTTGCTATAAGTATCAATCAGGTTGAGTTGGTTAAATAGCATTGTTCAAAATTTCTATATTCTTACCAGTTATTTTTGTCTTCTTGCTGTATCAATCATAGAGAGAAATTTGTTGAAATCTACAACTGATCTATTTCTCTTTTTGGTTTTATCAGTTTTTGCTTAATGAATTTTGAAGCTCTGTTATTAGATGCATACATATTTAGTACCATTAAGTCTTTCTGTTGGGTTGACCCTCTTATTATTATGCACGGTCCATCTTTATCCCTGGTAACACTCCTTTACTTTTGGCATATGTCTTTTTTCCAATCCCTTTGCTTTTGATGTATCTGTGTTCTTATATTTCACAGTGTCTCTTGTAAACAAGATATAGCTGAGTCTTGTTTCTTTACCCCGGCTAACAATCTGCCTTTTAATTAGAGAATTCAGTTCATTTTCATTTAGTAAGACTCTAATATGGTTACGTTTAGTTCTACCATCTTATTTGTTTTCTGTTTATATTATTTCTTTATCTTTATTCCTTTGCCTTTCCTTTCCTGCTTCTATTTTTTCCCTCCTATTGACTTTTTTGATATATTTGTTGGTATTATTCGTGGTTACTTTAGAATTGTGCTGTCAGGTATGGTAGCCACTAGCCACATTAAAATTAAGTTTAAAATTCAGTTTCTCATTGTATTATATACATGTCCAGTAGCTACATGTCCTATTACTGTATTAGTACAGATTACTGTCCAAAGTTCTGTTAGTTCTCTAGAGATAAAGATCAGGATTTATTTTGAGTCAGAATGACCCAGGGTCAAGTGTGGCAAGAGTAACATTCTAGTCAGAAGATATGTGTTTTTGTCTTTCTGTGTCCACCACTGATTAGCTTTGTGTCTGGAGGCAAATGCCCTACTTCTCATGGCCTCAGGTTTCTTTTCTTAACTTGGGAATAATAAACCCTGCTTTCTGCTTCATGGCGTGCTTATGGAAAACTGTAAAACAGTAAAGTGCTTTATAAAGATTAAAGCAGTTTGCAAAAAAAAAAGAAAAAAACAGTAATCACTATTGATTGACCCAGTTTTTGGTGTTTTGTTTGCTCTTTTAGGTTGTTGACAGAACTGGAATCTCCTTCTTGGTGGCCGCCCTTTAGCTCCAAGCTTTGGAAGATGCCATCAGACACAAAGCCCAGGGGAGACTCCTCAGTGGCTAGTTCCAAAGCTCTTGGAAAAGAAGGGGTCGTAATCAGAGTTCCTGCTGTTATTTTCCAAAGAACAGACTCACATGTTAAACCTGGAATGCTCACCGTCTTTGTTTCTGGGTTAGAAATCCATGACTCCAGTTCTTCGCTCATACACAGATTTGAAAAAGAAGATGTGGATGACATTAAGGTTCACACACATTACGAGGTCAGCATCCGCCAGCGGTTCACTGGGAAGCCAGACATAGCTTTTCGTTTGATTTCTGCCAAGATGCCAGAGGTTATCCCCATTTTGGAAATGCAGTTCAGCAAGAAGATTGAGTTGTTAGAAGATGACTTGATGCTCAGAAGCACTAGAGCCTCTTCCCCAGAAGAGGAGGGCTACTCAGTCAGGCATGCAGGTGAGTGACTATCAAAACAGCCTATGCACAGACTGCTGAAACCCCAAACTCAGCTTGCCTGTGGCATACACTTAACATGGTGCAGTACGTGGACAGCTGCTGGTTTCTACTCACTATCAGCTGCCCACTTGTTTGTAAATAATTTCAGACTGTTTTCCTTAGTACTTGCCTTCTGTGACTCAAATCACTCAGGTTTATCACACGCACGAGAGCTATGTAGATTTTCAAATAGGTCAGAAAAGGTTTTGGTGACTTTCAGAACGAAGGGAAGGTCTGAGGTAGGTGTTTTCACTCTTTTTTTTTTTTTTTTTTTAAGCTGAGCCATCCTGCCACCTGTTGGTAGCTCAGCGGCAGCTCAGTGGCAACTCAACTCGGGCTGGTAATCGAACCGCTGTTGCTCAAAGCTCGCACTCTTGAGCGAGCTCTTAACCAACTGAGCCACTCGGCCGGCCCCTGGTGTTTTCACCCTTGAGAACCAGCACTTCAGGGTCTTAACTGGCACCATCCCCAACTGGTCTGGTGGGTTTCCATTCCCACTCAGCTTCATTTGTTTCCCTTGACGTTTCATGGAGGTCTTCCCAGTCCACATTCCAGATGTGCGTTTAGATATCTCAATCTATGAAATAGTTTTTGTGGCTTGTGTTGCATCCATAAGGTATTGTGAAGCCTGGCAGTGAGGCTGCAGTGTCCTCTTGAAGGTCTCCTTGGGATGTGGAGGGTATAGCTGGGCGTGGCCATGGGGTCGAGTGTGGGTAGCAGGATGTGCGGATATGTCACATGTCCACACATTGTGAGGTTCTCGGGTCTCAGCCTTTTCCCAAGCACGGGATACCTTGGTGTTATCTGACTTCTCGGTTTTGCCATTCTGACAGGTGTCCTGTGGCATCTCAGTGGTATTTTATTTTAATTTCTTTCATTGATTATGAGATAGAGCATCTGGTGCTTTTTATTTGCATTTTGGCCCCACAGGTTTTGCTCTATGGATTGCCTGTTCTGGTTTTGCTTTTTTGTTTGTTCATTTTCTGATTTGTAGGAGTTCATTGTGTATTCTAGATGTTCATTCCTTATTGACGTTAGAAGCCACTAGTACTTTCCCAGACTGTCAGCTTCCATTACAGGAATCATTAATTTTGCCGTGTCAGATTCACCATTTTTCCCCTTAAGCTTGTTTTTGAGCCCTGCTTAAGAAATCCCAAAATCATAAAATATTCTGATATATTCTAATACTAGAATTACAGGTGATGTTACTTCTATATTTAATGTGTTTTTTTTGACAATAGTCTTTCCTTATTAACTTTGATTTCTTGATGTCTGTTAAAGTAAGAGATGTTTGTTACCATTCCAGTTCCTTTTCTTTTTTCTCTTAAGTGATTGATTTTAGTTCCAATGTATAACCTGTTTCCCTAACACATGGCTATGTTGATGTTACTCTAGTTGACTTCAAGTTTCAAAAAGAAATACACTTGATAATAAATCTGGTCTCATAAGATCCAAAATGTTAGAAATGTCAATGTAAAACTTAATTTAAAAACTTACTTTTTTGGCATTTTCAGTTTTTCTTTGGCCCCTCACTCAAGGCAGGACTCAGAAGCTGGCCCAGAAAAGGGATAAGAAGGGTGGGCTGGCCCAGCCAATGTGATACCCTGACCGGAGGCAAGGCCACGTGCAAGCCCAACTGGGCAGCTGCTCTGATACCCCAAGTTTCAACTGAGTCACCTCACTGCATTTTCCCCTGGGAGGGGCCTCAGCTGTGAGAGAGGATCCCCTGGCCGGAGGGAGTAGACACAGAGCGCTGGCAGCCACTGGTTCCAACAGGGCTGACCGAGAACCCTGCAGTGCCAAGGCATGTGCCCAGTTCTGAAAACAAAACTAAATAAAACCTACAACCCTTCTTCCCACATAGCTCCAACATGTTCATGGGTTGTTAGACATGGTGGTTTCCAAGCGAGAACGTGGCACAAAGTAAAATGAATGAGATGGCAGATGTGGGCGTGCCACATGTGGCACAGAGGTCACACTGCACAAGCTTACTGGGCCTGCTGTCAGGGGCCCTGTGGAAGGTGGGATGCTCGGCTGGGACCCCCAGCATCCCAGTGGCAGACAGGGCTGGAGAAGAGTAGGAGGCGACTGTAGGGCCCGTGCGGCCGTGGTCAGACCGCAGATTGCGGGAAACTAGGTGAGCTGGAGCTGTGCAGGGCGGCCGTCAGGAGGGCAGCTGGATCTCTTGGGCATAGGCCGGCCATCATCCTCCTCCTCCTTTTTTGCAAAGCCACAGATCTGCTTTTAAAGCCTCTCAACTGATGGAGCCAGGCCCACCACATTACTAGGACTGTCTCCCTTACCTCAGTCGGCCATTGTGGGCCTTCTCCGTCCACAGCTACAGATACCTTTCTGACAACACCTAGATTAGGTTTGAATTGAATAGCTGTGGCCTCGCCTGTCACAGTTTTGGATCATATGTATGTGGAAAGAGCTGAGCCATGTCCAGGGTGACAGATGGGTTTTCATCTCGGTACTAACTTTAGCCTCTAGGGTGTCTGAATCTGCACCGAGCAAGAAGTGCCATCCTCCCTTCAGGAGGCCACCCTGCCTCACTTGTCGGGTGCATTTTACAGCTGTAGGTTTGGAGAGGCTCAGGTGACAAGGAGTGATGAGTTTGGAAAAAGCCAGCATGCTGAGTTTAGTAAGCAAGATGGTCTGTTACTTGCTAAGAACTTCTTAGTGTCCTGTGCAAGCCCAGCAACGAGAGCCTGTCACCCCTGTGTCATGTCTGCCAACACCTCTGCCTTTACTTCCACATTGGAAACTACAGAACGATGGAGGTGGGAACTAAGAATGACATCTCAGACATGGATTACTCTCCTTGCTGAGGTATTTGGGTAAAATGTGTGGCCAGAAGGTGGCAGTCTAGTAACAGAGGAGCAGTGTGTGCCCTGAGTATCTAGAACTTTCCAGAGACCTCTGTTGTAATGTGTAGTGTGGATGGGTGAGGACTAGGGAGGAGAAGCATCTCATGGGACTGGGAATCACAGATGGGAAGGTTCCCCCTTAGGGAAGAGCACCTGCAAATTACTGTTTTTATGAATAGCATTTTTTTTTTAATCTTGCGAATTTTAGAATAGTTTCAGGCTTGCAGAAAAAGTAAGGATCGTTCAGAGTTCCCATGTCTCCCACACCACCTGACGTTAGTGTCGTTTATTGTCATAACTAGCAAACCTACATGGATACATTAGTTTTCTCCTAAGTTCATATTTTATCCAGATTTTTATCCATATTTCCTTATATTTTACTGTTCCGGGATCCAACATTAAAATTCAGTGTCACGTCTCCTTGGGCCCTTGTTGACTGTGATAGTTGCTCAGACTCTCCTTGTTCTGGTGGCCTTGAAGTTTTTAGGAGCAGTGATCAGGCTTTGTAGCATATTCCCAGGTTATCTCATGGTCCCTGGGGTGACCCATGTGGGAAGAAGCCCCCAGAACTTGTCTCTTCATCAGAGCAGGGAACGAGTCTGGCACTGCTATGGGTTTTGGTACTGATTTTTGTCTTTGTTGTTTGCTGCCTGTCACCTTTGGAGAGAGTCCTTCCCTGACCACCCAATTTAAGAGGCCTCTGTCACCCATTCACTCACCTCATGGGAATCTTGTCTCATGCTTGCCCGCTGGTGCCTCCCCAACAGCCTAGCCAGGTCCCCCTCAATGGAAAGTGAAATCATCTGTAAATTCCCTTGTAGCTTGAACAATGTGTGCTTATTTTGGTTAACTGAAATAATTAATGACTTTAGAGACAAAAACCATCTTATACGGAACCAAGTTAATTTTTCTCAAAAGATATTTCAAAGCATTGAGGTAACTGAGTCAGCAACTGTGTCTCAACACAGAGCACTGGGGGTGGCCAAAGCCCTGTGCTCAGCAGGATCCCGCTGAACCCATAGCTCCATGTGAAAAACACCCCGACTTAGTGTTTTCCGGAAAGAAGTATCCTCCGTTTTGGCTTTCTGGTTGTTTAAGTAATACCCTTTGGTTAAAGGTTCAGAAATAGTATGTCTGTCTCTGTAATACTCGTATAGCCCTAGATGTTGAAATGGACACCTGAGCACAGTGCTGGGCACCAGTGGGCGTGGACAGGACGGTGCTCTCAGGAGCTAGTCAGGAAGACCCCAGTTTGAGAGATGCTGAAAAAATAAACAGCAGTGCAGTATCAGGCAAGTTCATGGCAAAGTTATGCAAATGGAATGATACCAGGATTATTGCTGATGGAAAGGCTGAGTGGAGGACATTCTCCAAGTCTGGTGCTGGGGTACATCCCTCTGCATGACGCGGGGCAGATGGGCGCAGACCAGTGTGCCTGGGACAGGAGCCAACGTGCTGGGGATGGGGTGCCGGGGAGTAGGAACAGGAGCCCGTGGGATTGGGGAGCAGACTGAGGAAGGATGCAGGCTGAGTGATGTGTTTCCTCAGCCCTTAGGCCAGGGAACCGCTGTTCACATAGGCAAAGTGCTCTACTATTGCATCAGCACGGATAACTGCTTTCACGTCATGGTCTCAGCGGGCCTCTCCCTTAGGCTAATAATAACTGGTGGGACACGCCCTGTGTTCTGCTGTGATAGCTTCCGGCCCAGCTCTGATGGTGCTCCACAGTTCACTGACTTTAGAAAAAGGCTTTTCATTACGTAACATCCCAGTGGGCGACACGGACCGAGAGGCACTGAACTGCGTGCTGTGGAAAGTTCTGTGCTCATTAACAAGCCCCAGGATGTTGGAGTAGGTGGGGCTTTAACAAGTCTAGAACACACGTTGTGAAATTAGTGGGTTGCAACCAACTTTTTCGGAAAGAATGGAATCAAACAGCAATCTGAGTTCATGGGGTGCGGGAAATGTTTTGTCCTGTGCGACCTCCTGACTACAATGCAGTGAAGGTACAGCTGCTCTGTAGGGTGCCTCTCAGGGTGCCGCAGTTAGAGATGGACCTGGGGGACGGGTCTTGCCTTCAGCAGACTTGCACCGCTGACTGGTTCCTGAGCTTACTTCATCTGGCCCAGGCAGGGCCTTTTCCCCTCAGGACCCCTAGAAACCTGCTTTCTGTCCTCATCCCAGCCAGCATGTATCCTGGCCAAGGCCAGGCACTCTCCGGGAGTGTTAATTTGTAAGAGTTACTTTAAGACACAGAATAGAGGGGATGTTAGTGTGTGTGTGTTCGGGGTGGCTGGACTCTCCCGCCTTGCACAGTCCGCGTGTCCGGGAGGCAGAGGGACCAGCTGGGCTCCAGCCTGTCAGGCCCAGTGAGAACTTCCCACAGCAGATTTCCTTCTCTTCTCCTTTCCTGACTGGGCACTTATCAACTGGCTCCAGGTGGCTCTGACAAAAGGTGGCTCTGCTCACCACCGCTAGGGTCCTGAGAAGGATGTGGGGGTCACCTGTCAGCCCACAGCGCCCCCCCCCACCACCACCCCTCGCCTTCTGCTAGAGCAGAGAAGCCTGCTCAGAGGAGCTGGTGCTGGTTCCCAGACCAGTGTGTTTTTTGCTGTCTGCTCTCCTCACCAGCCTCCTAATAAATAAATGTGCTGCATACCTGAGGTGGTCTATGTGATGGAGAAGAGCCGGCAGCAGACTCATCAACACCCTTATCTGGGCCCTGCAGTGCCAGGGTACAGGTAGAGCCAGCTCTTTAAATAAAGAACAGGTGGCCCGCCATGGGAGGGACTGTGAGCCCCCTGATGAGCACGGCCTGTATCCAGGCTGCCCTTCTGCTCATTGGGGAGATTGCCCAGGCACAGGTGCTGTCCCGGCAGAAACCCCCTGCTGAGCAGTGCCTGGCCCCACGCCTCTCAGACTCACCCCACGTCGTGGCTTCACAGTCACCTTTGCTTGGCCAGCCAGCTGGCCATTCCTTGTGTTCCCCAGACCCACAGCATCCTGTGGGGTTCATGAGGGTTCAACAAACTTGTTTCACACAACAAGTTTTTGTGTGAAACTCCAAACCTATAGACTTTTCTCAAAAAGAAAACGACCACTCCTAGATGGGGGCCTTTCTTCTGAGAGTGGATCATAGAAGCAGACCCTAGGTATTTGCAGTGTTGCACTCAGATCAGTGTGGGGTTAGGAAGCCGCCCTGGACTGGGGTGGCGGTGAGGCTTGGGCAGGCCCCACAGCCGCTCAGCTTAGCAGTGGATCGGGGGAAGGACCAGCATGCACAGAGGCTGCAGACCTGCAGACCGAGGGATGTTTGTGAGGCCACTTTGTCAACCCAGAGCGAGGACGGTCTTTGTAAAGTGCACTTGCGTGGTGCATCTTCTGGAAGATGTCATTGCTGTTTGACTTTCATTCCAGCATCCAGGCTAATGGACTGTGCCAGGCACCAAGAGCCCTCAGGGAGCCAGGAAGGCAGGCTGCTTCAGCTGCAGACGAGCAAGCCACTCATTTCCGAGAGGGACACCCAGGAATTGAGACAGGTAACATGCGTTTGTTCAGGGGCTTTATCCTCCCTGCAGGTGACTCCCTTCTCTTTCCTGCCTGGAGACAACTCTCCCTGCCTGTGCTTGGCCCTCACCCACAGGAAGTTACTGCCACCCTCCGGGTTTGCTCTGCTCCCTGCAGCGGGAGAAGGTAGAGAAAGGCAGTGCCCATCCCGAGTCCTTGTGCTTTGTGCACACAGACATGCACAGCCTTCCCGTGCTTCTACCCATTGTATGTGTGTGTCTGTGTGCACACGTGATCTGTGTGTGCGCATACATCCATACACACATGTGGGCTATGTACGTGTGTGCTGTGAGTCTGTACGTGTGTATGCTGTGTGTACATGTGCTGTGAATCTGTGGACATGTGCTGTGCCTGTCCTGAGTGTGTGGGCATGTGTGTACATATGTGTTGTGTGTGCTGTGAGTAGTATACATGTGTGTACATGTGTGTGCTCCACATGTGTGCGTCCAGTTGAGGTCAATTGCTCTGTCATATCTCTCTCAAGTGCTCAATTGGATTCTGAGGAGGCTTGCCACTTTGTGTCCAGGAAGTTGAAATTTAAACAATATTTCGTAGAAATACTTTTAACTTGTCTTCCTATGTTATTTTTGGACAATACAATGGCTTTTTTCTCTTTTCTTTTTTAATAATTTTAAAGCAAGTACATAGACATTATTTCATTCATATTTCAGTATGTAGCTTTAAAAGATAAGAACCGCTTTTAAAAACTAGTATCATACCATACTCACCTTAAAAAAGTAAAAAGTAACTCCCTGCTGTCGTCAGACATCCAGCAGGTCAGACATCCAGCAGGTCGTTGCTCAATTCTGCTCGGCCCCCGCCTCGCCTGGAAGCGCACGGTGGAACTGGAGCTCAGGAGCCCGAGGCACTGCACTTGGTGTAGTGCCTTGGTGTATGGCTTCCCTTTGTTATCTTCCATTTTCCCTTTGCAGTTTATTAGTTGAAATCGAGATTTTGCTGTTTACATCTTCTTGGCTTGGTTTCCCCAGGAGTGAGCAGCATGCACTCTGCCCCTGTGCCCTGTAGGTCAGTTCGTAGCTCTAAGGCATCATCAGGATGCTTTGGAGTGCCTGGTTTCCTGGTGCCTCCGCGTTCCATCAGTGTCACCTGTGAGCCTATTTTCTGTGTGTCTGCCTAGGCAAACCCTTACACTGAGCCCTTTCCTTTTGGGGGAAAAAAGTGCTCATCTTTGCTGTGGGGTATTTTTTTAAATTTTTATTTATTATTATTATATTTTTTAAGATTTCATTGGGGAATTGGGAGAGGGGAACAGATAAGTTGCTGTCCTCTTGTTCTTCAGTCTAGTTGTAGAGGACGTCGCTTCACTGGCCCATGTTGGTATCATGATCATTGCGCTCTTCCCGGGTGAGGCAGATCGGTCGCTGGCCACTGGACGGCCGCTCACAGCAGCTCTTGGCAGCTCACGCCGGCTGGCGGCTGCTCACGCTGGCTGCCAGCCACTCACAGTAGCTTTACGGCAGCCTACGCTGTCACCGGCAACTCATGGCAGCCCAGTTCCAGGTCGAGCTGTGGTTCACCATCTTAGCTGTAGAGGGCGCAGCATCACTGGCCCTCTTGTGGGATCCAAACTGGAGCCCTGCTGCTCAGAGCTGGCGTCCCAAGCCAGCTCTTAACCAACGCGCCACTTGGCCGGCCCAACTATGGGGTATTTTTTTTTTTTAAGATTTTTTTTTATTGGGGAATTGGGGGGATGGGAACAGTACTGGGGAATTGGGGGAAGGGGAACAGACAAGTTGCTGTCGTTTTGTTCTTCAGTCTAATTGTGGAGGATGTTGCTTCACTGGCCCAAGGTGGCACCATCATTGTGCTCTTCCTGGGTGAGGCAGATCAGTCGCTGGCTTCTAGATGGCCGCTCAGCGGCTGCTGGCAGCTCACGCTGGCTGCTGGCTACATACGGTAGCCCATGGCAACCCACTGCAGCAGGGGCTGCAGCCTACGCCGTCGCCGGCGACTCACAGCAGCCCAGCTCCAGGTTGAGCTGTTGTTCAGCATCTTAGCTGTGGAGGGCAGTGTCACTGGCCCTCATATGTGGGATCCGAACCGGGGCCCTCTGGCGTCCCAAGCCAGTTCTTAACCAACGCGCCACTCAGCCGGCCCTGGGGTATTTTAAATGTACATGATTTGTCACTTTTTCCTCCTTATCTTAATTAGTCACTTTTTGTAATGACAGTAACGCTGTCTAGCTGCTAGCAAATGCAGCAGGTTCTTAATTGCCTCCAGAACACGAGGATCTTGTCTGCTTTGGAGCTTGAGCACCCACCGTCCTATAAAGGCTAACGTACCCATTCTCCTGAGAGTGGATGAAAGAGCATCCACCTCAGGGCAACCTGGGACGCCCCCACCCCTAACACACACACACACACACACACACACACACACACACGCGCGCGCGCGTGTGCGAAGGTGATGTGACTGAGGCCTGCTTTTCTGGGCCCCATGGCTGTGCTGAGACTGAGGTTGAGGCAGGAACACAGCTTTGTGATGGGAAATGAGGGAATTTTATCTGTTTATTCTGGAGGTGGCCATGCAGTTTGAGAGGGCCTTGCCCCTAAGAGCCATTGAGGGGATGGGAGAGGTCGAGATGTGTGCACCCACGGCTGTGACTGCTGAGGTCGCCATTCTTCCCTTGAGAGTGGGTGTCAGTGTGACTGGTCCTGACTATTGTCAACAAGTCTTAGCCTGTGGTGTTCGTGCTGGGAACAGAAGCCGCCAACAGTCAGGACTCTGGCTTCAGGGCGGAGAAGTGGTGACCCGTGAAGTGGGACCCAGATCCCTACCGGTGCCCGCCTCACCCTCCCTTCTGCAGGGAGAACCTAGTTTCACAAAAGATGCTCTCCCTGAGGTCAGTCACATTTCCTGTTTAAAGAAGAAATTTTTCACTGTGCAGTGAAGCTCAAGCATGTGTAGGAAAGGGTTAAATTTCTGGGGAGAACAAAATATAAGAGCACTCCATTTCAGCTGTGGTTTCTGTCGCAGATGCTATTAAAGTCATTATGTGGAAATGGGTCTTGGTGACTTAAACTGCATTTGGTGCTGAGAGAAGGTGCACCTGATTTCCCCAGAGGCCCACACTCCTCACAGCATGTGCGTGAGTCCGGCTGTGCCTGCGGCCCCATGTCGACCCACCCCTGCCCTCGGGCTGCAGCCGGTGGCCAATCTGCGTAACTGCGGTAGGGCAGGCTGTGGGGGCCGAACAGCACTGGCTTCGCCAGGATGGGCTTGGCAAAACGCCCTGACTCCCTTCTAATGTGGGATGGGCCAATTTTCCTGCCTCCCTTGGAACTGCTGCTCTTTGTTACGAAGGCTGTGGCTGTCACAGACTTGACGCGGAGTTTGGAGATGACAAAACAAAGTGACACTTGTCTTTTCCCTGAGGGCATCTTGGTTCCATGGACATTTTCTTCAGAATTTTTGAACCTCCGCTTTTGTGCCTTGTCCTGTGTTCGGTTTGTTTTCCTCCTGCCTCCCTCTTTCACCAAGAAGGAGCCAGCTAAGAGCCAGCGTGAGTCTGTCTGGTGTGGAGGTCTGATGTGCGGGGCAGCCTTGCACCCAAGGGGTTTGCAGGTCGGCGGTGGGTTTGCCATGGAGGGTCCAGTCCGGGGAACAGCAACAACAGGAGACCTGAGCTGATGCCTTGTCATTCCCGGTAAAGAGGTTGCAGTGTGGACTCATAGGATGTTCTTAGGTCATAGTTTTGAACTTTCTGTTTGATTATATTAGGGATTTTAGTCTGCCTGCTGTATCTGATGTCTTTATAAACAATAACCACAAAACACAAAAATTAAAAGAAAAACTGAGGTGATACATTCAGTTCAGTCAAAAAGTCGGTTCACTGGAAAAGGTGGTCAACTGGTGGGCTGGTGTGAGGAGAAGTCTTGAACTGCAAAGGCAGCCCTGCCGCTTGTGGGGGGCCATGGGTGAAGGCGGAGTTGGGCTCTGCTTGCTGTGCGGAGTGATGTCCCACCCAGAACCGCCGTCAGCAACTCACAGGAACTTACTGAAAAGATTCTAGGGCACAAAGGCTGCTGCGGCTCCCTGTGTGAAACCGTCTTAAGAAATTCATGACCTTTTCCTTCTTTTTTAGAAATTATACAGTGCATTTCACCTTCAGTGACTACGGTCCTGGTCTTTTTCCCCTCTTCTCTGTTACCTGGTATTGAAACTGGTCCTTATTCATCGGTCTCCTCTCATAGTCACGAAAAAAAAAAATCAGTCATTTCTTATAGGCCTGATCTATGTAAGAGAATTATATTTAACCAGTGTTCTTCAGCCCCAAATAAATGTCTGAACAGTGAACGATTTATCCCTGGTTTAGTGATAACTCAGTGCACAGTCACACAGTGACAAGCAGGGTATCCGTGATCCTTGCATCAGCTGTGTGGCAGACCAGGCCACACTCCAGGACGACGCATTAGGAAGAGGCGTGCCGGGCTGGGGAGCCCTCAGACTCCCCATGGGAGGGCCTGCAGCAGCCCTGGCTGGGCACCTCTCTAGCACAGGCCCATGTAGTTTGTGGTGGTGGTTGTTCGGAGTAGGAGGGCCCGTCCGGGTATGTGGCTGTGTGTCCCCTGTAGCAAACAGAGGGTTGTGCAGGCGCACGGGACCTCCCTTGCACAGAAGCCACAGCTAACCCTGGGCTGCATGGAGGGGGCGTCTGCCCTCTGGTCCAGATGCTCGTGCACATGAGTCCCAGGCACACGCTCTGTCTCTTCCACTGTCCCAGATTCCAGAACGTGCCAGCATTGCAGTGAGTGTCTCCTGGAACAGCTGCGTGTCTGTGCAGCGGGTGGGATGTGGGGACAGGAAATAGGCTCTGGCATTCTGATTGGAAGGACAGAACATTGTCCTGTCTTCTCAGTCAGCATTTCAGTGACCCTCAAGTCTTCAGTGACCCTGATAATTGTGTTACTGAGTGCCTCACTGTGGAAGATTATATATGTTATATATATTA